TTACAGGCGTGAGCCACCACGCCCGGCCGTTCCTCTTTCTTTCTCTCTTCCGCTTTTTTTTTTTTTTTTTTTTTTTTTTTCTTTAGAGAAGGGGTTTCCCCATGTTAGCCAGGGTGGTCTCCATCTCCTGACCTCTTGATCGGCGGTCTCAAAAAGTGCGGGGATAACAGGCGTGAGCCACCGCGCCCGGCCTTCCTCCTCTCTCTGTTTCCTCCCCCTCCCTGCCTCTGTCTTTCGCCCCTCCTCCTCCCTCTTTTTCTTTTTCTTCTGTCACTCAGTCCTGTCTTTCTCCGACTTTCCGTCTTGCTCCTTTTTCCCCCTTTCTTCCTCTGCTTTTTGCCGTTTCCTGGTTTCTCTCCCTCCATCCCCCTTTTGTGTTCCTTCCTTCCTGTCTCCCTGCCCCTCTGTTCTCTCTTCCTCCGTTTCTCCCGTCCCTTCCTCCCTTTTTCCCTGCCCCTTCCTTTCATTCCCTGCGTTTCCCGTCTCTCCCTTCCTTTCCCTTTTTCCTTTCCTCCCCATCTCCCTGCTTCCTCACATTCTTTCCTCCCTCCCTCCTTTTCCTTCCTCTTCTTTCCCTGTCTTCTTTCCTTCTGTTTCCTTCTCCCCGCCTTTTCTCTCCGACTCTGTGTCTTTCTCACTCTTACTTTTCCTTTCTCCGGTGTCCTGGGAAGGCGGAGGTCCCTGACCTGTGTGAACCCCGAGAGCAGCGTCGCTGTGAGCCCTGCCTGAGGCCTTTCCTGACCTCTGGGAGGGTGATTGCGGCCGGGGCGGCAGGTTGCGGCCGGCTCTGGGTGCTGGAGTGGGTGCTGGACGGGAGAGACCGTGGCTCAGAAGTCACTGGGCGCGGTGGCTCACGCCTGTCACCCCAGCACTTTGGGAGGCCGAGTCGGGCGAATCACGAGGTCAAGAGATGGAGACCATCCTGGCCAACATGGTGAAACCCCGTCTCTACTAAAGAAAAATACAAAAATTAGCTGGGTGTGGTGGCGCGCGCCAGTAGTCCCAGCTACTGGGGAGGCTGAGGCAGAATTGCTTGAACCCAGGAGGCGGAGGTTGCAGTGAGCCGAGATCGTGCCACTGCACTCCAGCCTGGCGCCTGAGCAAGACTGTCTCAAAAGAAAAAAAAAAAAAAAAAAAAAGAAGTCACTGAGCCATGCAAAGGTCTGACCTCGGGAGTTGCTGTGGGGAGGGCCCTGCAGACCAAGCGCATTCCTGACGCTCTGCCACGGCACCGTGGTTGGACAGGGTCCCTCTAGGACCCAGACTGAGCCAGGCTCCCTGCAGGGGCCCGGGAGTAGGGGACAGAGGCTGGGCGGGGGTGGGGAGTTTGCTGAGGCCCCAGTCTCTGCTGCTGCTCATTTCCCCGCATGAGCCGGTTCCCAGCGCCCAGGGAGCCGGGGCTGCTGTTTCCCGATGAGGCTGGTTCGCGGGTGCTCTGGCCGGGGCTGGAGGCCTGCGCCCTGGAACCTGGTGTTCGAAGTCTGCAAAGCCTGTCTTGGAGGAGAGAAGGAGGTTGCTTCCATGCGGGTGGGGACCGCTAACAGTGGCCAGACGCTGAGACGGCCCTCTGTGCTGAGCCTGCGTGTCTCAGAGCCAGGACGATGCCTGGGTGCTTGGGCCTCGCACCCAGGATGTGCTCTGCAAATGCTTCTGGAATGGATGAATGAATTGCTAACTGGGGGGAATGAATGCATGAATTGCTCCCTGGGATGAAAACGAATCACTAACTGGCATGAATGAATGAATGGCTAACTGGGGTGACTGAATGAATGAATTCCTAAGTCAGATGAACGAACAAATCAGTAACTGGGATTAGTAAGTGAATTGCTAACTAGAATGAATGAATGAAAGGCTAACTAGGCGTGATGGATGAATGAATGGGTAATTGGGAGAGATGAATCGTTAACTAGGAGGGATGGATGAGTTAATCGCTAACTGGAATGAGTGAATGAATTGCTAACTGGGATGAGTGAGTGAATTGCTAACTGGTATGAATGAATTGCTAACTGGGATGGCGAATTGCTAACGGATGAATGAATGAATCACCAACAGGCGGGATGGATGAATTAATGGCTAATTGGAATGAATGAATTGCTAACTGGGATGAATGAATGAATGAGTTGCTAACTGGAATGAATGAATTGCTAGCTAGGAGGGATGGCGAATGAATGTCTAACGGGATGAATGAATGAATCACTAACATTAATGAATTAATGGCTACGTGGAATGAATGACTAACTGGGATGAATGAATTGCTAACTAGAATGAATGAGTTGCTGAGAGGAATGAATGAATGAATCGCTGACTAGGAGGGATGAATGAATGAATGAATGGTTGTTAATCAGGGCTGCCCATGGACTTAGCGTTGGACACTCGTGCGTTTTCTCTTCGTATCTGGGAGGTAACACCTCACTCCCCGTGCCTGAATAGCGCCCTACCTGGGAGGCCTCTGGGGCCACCTGCTCCCAAACGCGGGGACACGGCTTCCCTGGAAAAGGAGGGTCCAGGCAGGCCTCGCACCCAGGAATTGGGAATGGGAGACACACCACCTGCTGTGGAGTGGGGGCAGAGCTGTGTCTGTCACCGCCCTCCCCCTCCGAGGACCCAGGACGGAGGAATGAGCCCCCACCCGCCTGCCAGTCACCCGGCCACGAGGTCCCTTCCCTGCCAGGCTCTGATGAAATGACCGGTGGGCTTTAGAGATCATAGCCGTCTGATCTCATAGGTGCCCTCGTGGAATCTGTGTCGTGAAAGCCCCTTGCGTGGCAGAAAAGTGTGTGGGTTAATACAGAAGCAGAGGTGGTTTGCATTTCTTTTCTTTTTTTGAGGTGGGGTCTCACTCTGTTGCTCAGGCTGGAGTGCAGTGGTGTGATCTCGGCTCACTGCAACCTCTGCCTTCGGGTTTCAAGCCTCCCCCGAAGAACCGGAATTACAGGTTTCTGCCACCACGCGTGGCTGATTTTTGTATTTTTAGGACAGACGGGGTTTCGCCATGTTGACCAGGCTGGTCTCGAACTCCTGACCTCGGAGCATCCGACCACCTCAGCCTCCCAAAGTGCTGGGATTACAGGCGTGAGCCACCGCGCCCAGCCAGAATTTCTCTGTGCTTATATATTTGAGAGGTTATCTGGGCGTCTAAACCCCCTGCGGCTGTTTTCTACAGGAAAGCTGTTCACAAGCGCAGGGGGCCTGTTTGAATGGCCGGATGGTCAGGTGGGTGTGGTTTTCTTTTTTTTTTTTTAAGACGTGGTTTCACCATGTTGGTCAGGCTGGTCTTGAACTCCCGACCTCAGGTGATCCTCCCGCCTTGGCCTCCAAAGTGCTGGGATTACAGGCCTGAGCTTCCGTTGTCACACATGGTCTCGGTAACCCCCAAGTCAAGATGCTCCACCCTTACAATTGCCTGACGTCACGAAAGAATGTGTAGGTTCTTTTGTGCTTTAAGAAAACAGGTAAGATAGGCCCAGCAAGGTGGCTCCCAGCACTTTGGGAGGCCGTGGTGGGCGGATCACTGAGGTCAGGAGTTTGAGACCAGCCTGGCCAATGCAGTGAAACCCCGTTTGTACTAAAAATACAAAAAATAGCCTGGTGTGGCACACGCCTGTAGTCCCAGCTACTCAGGAGGCTGAGGCAGGAGAATCGCTTGAACCCGGGAGGCGGAGGTTGCAGTGAGCCGAGATTGCGCCATTGCTCTCTGGCCTTGGCAACAAGAGCAAAACACAGTCTTAAAAAAAATAAAAAAGCTGGGCATGGTGGCTTATGCCTGTAATCCCAGCAGTTTCGGAGACCAAGGCAAGCGGATCACCTGAGGTCCAGGGTTCAAGACCAGCCCTGCCAGTGTGGCGAAACCCCGTGTCTACTAAAAACACAGAAAAGCTGAGGCGCAAGAATTGCTTGAACCCGTGTGGCAGAGGCTGCGGTGAGCTGAGATCAGGCCACTGAACTCCAGCCTGGGTGACAGAGTGAGACTCCATGTCTTTTTTTTTTCATTCTTAGCATATGCTTATGTTAGAGACTCCATCTCAATTAAAAAAAAAAAAGAATGTGTAGGTTGCTTTGTGCGTTAAGAAAACAGCTGAAATAGGCCAGGTGCAGTAGCTCACGCCTGTAATCCCTGCACTTTGGGAGGCCGAAGCGGGCAGATCCCCTGAGGTCAGGAGTTTGAGACCAGCCTGGCCAACATGGGGAAGCCCTGTCTCTACTAAAAACAGAAAAATTAGCCCAGCATGGTGGTGGGTGCCTGAATTCCCAGCTACTCAGGAGGCTGAGGCAGGACAATCACTTGAACTCGGGAGGCGGAGGTTGCGGTGAGCCGAGATCCTGTCACTGCGCTCCAGCCTGGGCGACAAGAGGGAAACTCCATTAAAAAAAAAAAAAAAAAGATGCATTTCAGCCCCGAGGCAGGGGCTTGAGGGAGTCCCGCTCATGAGAGTCCCTGTACCAAGTCAGGAGAGACGGAAGCCGCCTGGAGAGCTGTCGCCCACGACCCGTGGGCATTCAGGGGTCCGCAGCAGCGATGTCCCATGGAGGAAACAACCTGGAAATCGTGTGGAAGAGGGGAAGATGCAGGCGGGCGTGCGAAGGACTGAGACCCTGCCCGGCAGACACGGGCACCGTCACCGCGGCCGTCGGACCGCGAGGAGTCAGAAGCAAGCCCTGTGTCCACTGCCCGCCCCGGGAGTCCACACTGGCTACTCCGCAAACCTGCTGGCTCCCAGAATGTCTCCTGGGCTGAACTGTCATCCCTGGCTGCCCCTCCGTTCCCTCCTCCGCAAACTCAGCTTCTGTCTTCTCCTCTGCAAATGCAGCCTCCACCCCCTCCTCCCCAAATGCAGCCTCCCTCACCTCCTCCCCAAAAGCAGCCTCCACCCCCCTCCCCAAACTCAGGCTCCTTCCCCTCCTCCC